GGAAAAGCATACCTGACATGGATTCAGAGTAGCAAGTTTGTAAGAGAGATGTCCTACTTAGGAAAGGTTTACTGGCCTCTGTCTGGACAGGATTTAAGAATGGCAGCTTAAGGCCCTAACAAATTATTGTTGATTTCTAAAACCCACAAAACAAAAAATACCCCACTTCAGAAAACTATTGTCTGCTTTAAGCTGAACTTCGATACGAATATTTTGTTATATAGAGTATTCTTTACAGAAAGCAAATGATGTGAGTGTCTGTGTACATAATACAAACATATGATGCCTGGACTGGCAGTATTGACCTTCTAATATTCATGCATAATTATCCTCTCCCTTCCCTGTTCTAGGAATCTTACAGTTCGTGCAGTAATTTTCATAGCATGATGAGACCTTCTTTATAGGAAAACCCATTTAGTTATTTTGCTTACATTAGAGTAATTTAAAGGTCAAGAAACAGTTTTAAATACAGTTTCTAAGAAACACCATTGGATTTACAGTCATCACTGACCTTATAAAACAAAACTTTATAGTTAAGATGCCAGCTGGGAACTATGTACAGAGACCATTCTAAAAGTACAAGAAATACAGGTTTGTATGAACTTATGTATGTTATGTTTTGTTAAAAAATGTATTTCACTATTTTTTATTATAAGTGGAACTCAAAAAGTAAACACACAAAATTTGAGGGCACTGGAGATTTCTGTACACCAAGTTACAATTAATATTAACCATCCTCAAAAGTCTAGCAGAAAAAGCAGTGTATCTAACTGAAGAATTAGATTAATATAGCTACCCACTTGTGCTCTTTAACTCAAAGAATACAGAAAATGAATTGTCTAAACATGTATAATCTCTTGTTTGAGATCTGGTAGCAAAAAGGAAAAAAGCTTATAAAAAGCACTAGTGATGCATCATAAGAACTCTTCACAAGAAGCTTACAACACAGTTTAATATCTACACAATCTCTTCAATAAATGGAATTTCCACTGATTATTTATAGATTTCAAAGCTGTTACCATCTTATCCAATCTTTCCATGAAACTGTGCTTAAGTAAATAAGGATTAGTTGGCAAAGTTAATTATGGTAAAAGAAAAATGATTGTTAAACTTGGGATGAAAATGGCACCTAGAGAATATCTATTTGTTGCCTTCTGCTCACAGATGCTAATACAGTTTTGATTAGGACCTTGGGTATTCCCAAAAGATCTTTTCTGGGGGTTGCTGTAAATGGTAGAGAGATCCAAACTAACTTTTGAAACATAACGCTGAGTATCAGAGAAGGCCCAGCTGCAGCACCATAAAATAATTTGCATTTCCAAGGAAGGTGTAATAATTGAACAAAACAAAGTGTCTAGCTCTACACAATGTTCCCATAACACATGGAGCATCAGATCTGTTCCACATGGAAAACTTTTGTTCTCTAAACAGTCACTTTCCCCTTAGAGATAGTCATTAAGATGTCAAGTACTGAAGAGTTGCTGTTGATTTCAACAGGTAATAGGAATGAACTGGAGTTTTGGGGGTTAACAGAGCTATTCCTATCCACTTGTTGCCCACTAGTGTTTTAGAAGCATTTCAGTGAGCTTAATCAGAAAGTCAAGTATTAATTTAATTCCACATCAGGAGAGACAGTACAGTTGTGGGTTGCTGTGATCTTGCAACAAGGCACAGAGCTACATTTGCCAAGGTTGATGATTAAGCCAAAAATCTGCGTGCTTTGGCTCTGCTTCAGGTATACCCACAGATTTTCCCGTTGTGATGTATTGGACTGAAGTGACCTCTGCAAAGAAGTACAGCTGAGAAGGAGTGCAGGGGGCATAAGGGTTGGCTGTGCTGTATTCATTTAATCACTGCAAGTACCTGCTGCAGGAACCGCCTGGCATCTCAACAGGTGAGACACTTCAATAGTGAAGGCTTCCTGAATTTGTTGGGAAAAAAAAAAAAAAAGTTCTTGCCACTCATACATGTGACATAATGACATAAATGTGCTCTTTGAGAAGTGTTACGTGGCTGTCAGGAGGGCAGTAGTCCAGCCTCTCAGGTTGGTGTGATTAAGAGTCATGTCTGGACTTTGTGAAAAGCTTTTTCTATACGAGTAGTTAGAAGAATTAGAAATATATTTTCTGTCAAAAAATTAGGTGATTAGTCTGTATTTTAGAGGTGCAATCTATTTAAACCTTGTGTAACTGAAATAGGACCTCTTTCTAGTCTTTTGAATGTGTTTGAAAAATCGTGTTTGCAAAGTGTGTTCTGGTCCCAGCAGCTCTGGTGTAGATTGAAGAATTGGTGAAAAGGTCTTCAGATGGTCATTCAATTTATACATTAAAAGACAAACCCTATTAAATATGTCATTCTTGATGGATGTCTGTGTTTAATGTTCAAAGGTGGAGATTCCTCGGGGAATCTATTCCAGTGCTGTATTAGCACCACTAGCTTCCCAACAAGTTAACGTGATTCTTCCTTGCTATAATTTAAGCCTGTTATTGTGACTATTGTCTGCCACTTGCATGAAGTACAAATGATAAGTTTTCTCATTCCAGAGCTATACATGTATCTGAATACTGCTACCCTCTTCTCAGACTGCTTTTTCTTCTTCAGATCAAACTTTAACAGTTTTTTTTAATCTTTCCTCATAAGCTAGATCTTCCTGTACTCCAGTTACCATCGTTGCTTCTCTAGAGTCTGCTTGCTTAGTGGCCCACATCTTCAGGGTAAGACATGGAAGGTCCTTGTCCAAAACTGGGAGAGGTGCTTCAGCTGAAACAATTACAGTGCTAAGGGAAGGATTAAATCGTGCACTGGTTAGACCATTCTGCCTCCCGTAACCTCCAGTTTGTGGGAACTCTCTGGGAGAGGGGTTCTGTGGATTCACAGCCAGCAAAAAGAGTCAAGAATCTGGAATTAATGTCCCTTGAAATTAAAAAGGAATTGTGTCACACTGCCTTGCTATAACTTCGTGTCGTTTTCAAGGATTACTTCATGCGGAGTGAGTGCCATCTGGAGGTGAGGAGATGAAGAGCTCTGTGTGCTTTCATGCTGCAAAACAAAATCCCCATGCTTTTTAAATTAAATGTTCTTACATGAATAGGAGCTTGAGCATGACAGATAATGGACATGGGCCACTCAGTATAGAGTTTGTGACCTGTACCAAGAGCTGAGGCCACTCAGTCTGTCTCAGGGTAAGACATGCAAGTGTAATGACTTCAGTATTATGCAATCACCAATAAATGTGTAGCCTCCGAGTGGCCTGTGCAGTTTTTGGAAGAAGCTCTGGACAACACAGGGACAGGGAAATGCATGATCTGCAGTTTCCTTTCCCTCTTTCAGATGTTTGAAGACAAACCAGCTCCTGATGCAGTTTTCTGCTCACAGGAGAAAGCAGAAAGCATCTCAGCTGAACAAGAAGATGTCTTTTGTAAAGCGCAGGTTCCCATTTGATGTGTCTGAACACAGTTGTGCACCACAATTCATGGCTGCACGGAGTGGGATCAGTCCTCCTCACCTGGACTGATTGCATGGTGTGGTCTGCCTTCTTCTCTAACTAGTTTAGCTGTCCTCTTGAAAGCCTTAATCCTCCAGTTCTCACTACATGGAGGAAGCCAGGAAGAGAACTACTTGGTGATGCCATGACTGGAGTGACTGGGATTTGTGTCTTCTTTCTAGTGTCTTTTGTTTTGTTTTGTTTTTTCCCAGAGATCACTTGGATGTTGACAGTGATCACAGTGTTCCATACCACCTCTTGTCCTTTTGAACTGCCTTCTGCTGCTGAAGGCTGATTGTAAAAACAAATAGCGTCAGTTGCAAAAATGTAAGTATACACATCACCTCAGTCTGTGAGAGATTGCAGCCTGTTGTATCAAGGCAATTCTGATGGCTTCTCTGTTGTTGCTGCTGAAGGCTGATTGTAAAAACAAATAGTGTCAGTTGGAAAATGTAAGTATACACATCTCCACCTCAGTCTGGTGAGAGGTTGCAGCCTGTTGTATCAAGGCAATGCTAATGGCTTCTCTGTTGATCTCCACCTAGAACTAAGCATGGTCCTACAGAAGCTACATACAATTAAAAATTCAGATATTGCATGTACACTCTCCATGCTCTGCTGATTTTTTTTTCCCTACAGAACAACAGGTCATAAGCAAAGTTTGTGCCTATGTGATGAAGATGTGCTAGTCATCAGGCTTTAGGTATTGTGTCAGTTTAGCTTGATGAAAGTTTCCCTGGGCAACCACAGATTTTAGGAACTATGAACATGTTAAATTCAAGGTTGATGATCCTAAGAGTGTAAGACAGGTTGCTGAGCCAACACACCTTCAGAACAAAATGTGAAAGCCTGCTTCCTTGTCAGTGAGTTTCCATCAGCTAAACCAGAAAAAAAGAGTACGAGAAGGGAATTTCAGAGGCACAGATCTAAAGAAAGAAAAAAGAAAACTAGTGTGAAAAAATTTAGTCTTCCTCCCTCAGCAGGGAGGAGTGACCAAGCACAGAATGCGTCTCATGTCTTAAATTTTATTCTTTAGAGCAAGCCTACACACACAGATGACAGAGGCTGGTGAATCCTTGGCTACCTACATGAAATGCAACAAGCTGCTGCATTTTATTGCTCTGACCTTCAGAATATGTTGTACATGTTGGGACTCATTTGAGCTGGTGTTCATTAATTATTTATTTTCAGGAGATAAAAATTCAGGAAGAATTGCCTTTTGGCTATAATCTTCTTTCTGATGTTAGTGTTTACCTTCCTGTAGACTTACATGGGAAGATGGATGAGATCTGTAGTGCTAACTCTCTGTATATGGCTCAGTTACCCCAAATGTGAAGAGGATCGTCTCCTGTGACATTGTTGGACAACAACTATCTTTGTTCTTGAGAGAAAATCCATGCTAGACTGTAGTATTGGTCTCTCTGAGAAAAGGACTGAGGAATTTTCTACATGCTATGGAGTCCGTTGGCTAGAACCATTCAACTTGCTTTGTTACTGTTATATTTTTACTAAAGCCCTAGGAAATCTGGAGCTCACCCTCAAGTTTCCTCTTTCGCGCTCCACTGCTGAAGAAGTAATCCATGTTTACCAGAGCCCTGCCAAGTTCAGTATTCATTCGACTGCCAAAAGTCTGGTTGGTGGAATTGGGAACTTTGCTTGAGAACACAGGCATATAGTTTGGCAGTGCCTTCTGCTCTTTTTTCTTACCCTGGATAAAACAAAGACCATTGATAAGTTTTCAGAATTACATCCATTGCTTGTTACAAAAATACAAGTTACTGACACTATTATCAATATCAGCAGTTTTGCTTTTGAAATCAGAATAAAAAATGTCATACTGAATGTACATTAAATTTTTGCAGAAATACAGTAAAACAATAGTTTTTTTCCTGTATCTTTCATGGGAGTAGGATAGCACAGGGAAATTAATAATTTTCAAATATGTTGCATGAAGCGTCAGCTGGGACAGAAGTTAGCCTGCTCTAGAATGGCCATGATGTCAGAATTTTTTTGTTTCATTTTTGGTAAGTGGCTTGGATTTTAGCATGATGACATTATCTTACAAATTGTCTCCTAGGAAGTTGGTTCTTCTAGCACTTGTCTTTCTATGGAGTTGTTACTACTGAAACAGATTGAACACATGCACGTAATGCGTTCCTTTGTGGTGTAGGTAGCAGATGAAAGGCACTTCAGTTCTATTTTATTTTTCCTAAAGGTTTTAGTCTTAAAGCATTTGCTGATTATGCCTAAAGTATGCTTCAGTCTGAAATATTAGCCTTGCTCAAACTGATGAAAACTGAAGAGTTTGGATTACAGTTGAATGCTTGTTTGAAACTTACCATTTGGTCATAGTCCTTTAGGAAACTCCAGTTCTGGTACCTTGGAATAGAAGTAAAAAATGCAGTGTAAAATTTTCTGTCTTTAAATAAAATAGTTAGTGTTTGTAATATTTGAATACGTGTTTAACTGCTCAGTTGAATAATTACAGCCCAGCTCTTACACCTGCAGACTCTTTAGACTGAAACCTGTCTTTCTGTGGTGGAGCCCAAGGTTCTCTATTGCCGTATAGAGCCCATAGTACATGAGGAGTGGGGTTTTTTACTGAAGGAAGATGGGGATAGCATGTCCACGATGTATTCCTTGTGCAAATGCAGATAAATTAGCAAAGGTGACAGTCACTCTGGCAAACTTGTGTCCCATGGCTTTAGTAAGACACAGATTTTTATCTTTTAAATGACCGATACTCCGCTGGCAGAACTCCCTGGTAGGAATTCCCAGAGTTGTATTTGCTGCAGGCAAACACCTACTGGAGTATTTTATGCAGTTAGGCAGCTGTGATAGGAGCAAATTGAGGAGTCAGAAGTCCTGAGCTTTGCTCTTCACCTCTGTTCTACACCTGATGTGGGACTACAGGGCAAGTCCTTTGATTTTCAGTCCTTTGCTTTCTCTGGACAGAAATGGAGAAAATGACAGTTCACCTGCTATTGTAAAAGCGCTGTGAGATCAATAGAGGAAACATGTATTTGCAGCAGGGCTGAAGGGACACCTCGGTTGACTGTCTGAGGTGGTTACCTGTGTCTGTGCAGGGCTGCATCTAAGCTCATCAGCCTAGTGCTGAAGCTGTACATAGGCCCTCCTGGCTCATCTGTCCAGCACAGCTGTGTAACACATGGAGCTAATGGCCTTGCATGTCTGTGCCACACTCCTCTGTCGAGTTCAGATATGCCCTAAATGCAAATAAAAGCTGATCTCTGCTTGTTGTGTTTCTCACTATGTCTTGTATACCAGCACAGCATAGAGGTCCTAAATTTTTTTCTCTTGCTCTGCCAGTCACTGAATGTATCAGATTTGGGTTTTACTGGATGATGCCAGTTACTGAGAAATGCTTGGGTCTCAGACATTTCCTTATATCCACTTCAAGTCAGACCACCAACACATAGCAGCCTTTCCCCATTATTGTTTTGGGGATGTGGAGCTGCAGGACTGTTCTCTGCAGGCTGTAGCATATGTAGTCTGATGAATCCAGCTTTAGGCATCTGTCTGTCACATGTCTGTCCTACCCTTCTGCAAGAGTTCCTGTCATTGTAGCTAGGACTGGAGAGCAGGATCTGCTGCATGATGTGTTATCTTACTTACCCATCTGAGTGAGTTTGTGACAATATCCATAGCTGTGAACCCCCAGGCCAGGCACAGATGGAGCATTCCTCCTGCCGCCTTAGCTAGGGAATGGGTATGGAACATACCAGGCCTGTTTGGAAAGAGTCTGAGTGCACAACTGGGAGAGAGTGACATTGCCACTACGGTCTTAGCTTTGCATGAGTCAGAGTCTTGGCATCAGCCTTTTCCTCAGGTTAGAGGAGCCAGACAAGAGTGCAAATGCACTTCTGGGGAAATCAGAGCTGTGATTTCTATCTCCTCCTGAAGGCTGAGGAGGACAGGCGTTTTCACATGGTTTGCTTTCCCTTTATAAAAAATCCTGAGAGTGATGTTCTTTTTCCTCCCTTTCCTTTAGCTTGGCTAGTGTGCAGTTGGAACTGGCTCTGATTTTCCTTTTAGCAAGGATATTATTCTAATAGATATGATCATGCTGTGTACTAAAGTATGAACATAAACACTTGCTCAAGGTATGTGGCAGAAACAGAGAGGATCTTAATTTTGGGTTCGTTCAGGTCACTAGTGTACACAGAGTCAAAGCTG